GCCCAAAGTGACACAGCTATGAAGTGCAAAAGCCAAGAACCCTTGACTGAAAGTGCTATTCTTCCAGGTAGGGCTGAGTTTTAGGCCTGCCGATGCAGCTCAGTGGTAGAGTGATTACCTTGCATGCATAAGGCTCCAACTTCAGTCCCCAGTACCGCCCAGAAAAAAAATCATAGACTTCTAAATGTGATTGTAGGAAAATATAGATATTTTAAATGTTTCAGACATTAATTTTTGGCTTGGCAGGAATTAAAAGTAACAAAAATGTTAAGTTCTCTGATGACCAAATGCAGTTAAGAACCAGCTGTACAATGTGCTGAAAATACTGCTGCTTCTGGGAGACAAACAAGAGACAGAAAATCCCATCTATAAAAAGCTGGGGACTAACTCCAGTGTGGAGAATTCTCTATGAAGAAAAAGACATAACTTTTGGAAATTTTAAATTGGTGCCTGTTTTGCTGTCAGTCACACACATTTGATGAAATTGAGAAAATATCTCCAACATTGTCACTCCATTGATTGTGGAGCCTTCTTCTGAGGAGAAGACATACAGTGTAACAGGAAACCATAAATGTCAGTTATTCCAACTGTATTTGAATGACACTACTGCACTGTCCCAAGGCTAATGTGTTATGATATAGTAAGTAGTGAGGAATGTTGTGTTTTGACCTAAGCAGAGATAGTTTTCTTCCTCGTCCTTTCTCCTCCTCTCTCTTTCCCATTGCATTCTTGCCCCCCTCTTTTTCTTTTTCTGTCTTTTAACAGGAATATGTTTTCAGTTGATTGACTAACCCTGTAAAAAAGAATTCAGGAAGCCAGTAGTACCAGTTACCGAAATCCATAGTGCACGAGAGACACTTCAATGGTTGACCAGATGGCCCATGTTCGATTGGACTGAAAAGTCAATGAAACCACAAACAGAATCTATTTGGTCAAGCAGCATGATGAGTTTTGTAGCTTTAATATCCCAAGATAATTTATTTTGTTAGTTAAATGGAGGAAAAAAAAAAGGCTCGGCAATGAAACCCACCATTTTCCTCTGAATTTAAGATACAAACTCCTCATTGTATCCTGAGCAGTTTTGTTTTATTTATGTCACAGTTTAAACAATTAGCTGGGTCTCTTTATTGTTCTAAGTACTGATGTGGTTGGAGTTCTTTCTTCATTCCATTATGGTTATTGATTTTTTGACAGTGTTTAATATTAAAAGGTATAAATCTGCATGCAGTGGAACCATTTTGCCATAAATATCTGGGGACACTGGAAAGGGGGAGGCAAGGAGTGCCTCCCAATGTGGTCGTTCTTCAGCCAGCAGACTCTTGCTGTTTGGGAGATGTGCCACAGGTTTGAACCTTGCATGATGGAAGTATTCAAACAAGCTTTTAAAAATATTTTACAGTCTTAAAAATATTTTTGTTGCAAATCAAATGGCAGCTTTAAGGGCTGTGTTTATAGAGGGCTGCTGCGCTGTGTGATGTAACACATTAAAAAAGAAAAATAGAGAGGCTGATATATTTGGGCCATTTCTTTGAAGGGTACTTTTTTTAGTACCAGCAAGTCAGCAAGTCCAGTTAGAAAGTTCCATCTGCTCTCCCTCTTACTGCTTGCTTCTGTGCCGTCTTCCCCTATGTCATCTCAGACCAAGCCACCACTTGATTTTTCTCTGGATTATAGCAACACCCTTCTGGGGTTTTTGCAGAAACGTGGCTTTCCTTCTTTTCTTTCCCCGGTTGGCTTCTAGGCTGCTCACTTCATATTTTCTCTTGCATAAAACCCTGAGATGCCTTCCCACATGTTATCAGCAGTGGGGCAGGCAGTGGGGAGGTTATTTAGCAGAAATAAATAAGTGAAACAAAACAAGTTGTATGAGAAGTTGGGGAAGTGAACTGAACATTAATGCTCTAAAAACCACCTTACTGATTTGTACACTGCATCTAAAACTGCAAGGCTGGTACCTTCAACCAGCTGTAGGACCAGTGCAGTAGCATCAGGGCAGGGGAACAGCATAGGTCTGCAGAGAAAAGATGGTGTCTCTTATATTGCATGTAGAGGAAACCCCACCCACTTACACATGAAATATTCGGAGTTCTGGAGTCCTATTAAAACATGGAATGCAGCGGAGGATATTCTACCTAGGTTGACAGAATTATCTCAGGCATAATGGCCAAGGAGAAATAACTGTGGCAACATTTCCATGAAATGGAACTAAAGCTGCCTCCAAACTGTCCACTTCCCACCAAACCTTCAGGAATTAGGGAAATTTTCTATCTATTTTATATAAGTTAATTTACCTATGGATTTTTTAAAAATAGGCAAATCTGACTGAGTTGTCTCTGGTTTCCAATTGCATGGGAGCAGTAGTGGTGCTCTGTTTCTGATTTTCTTCCTCTTGTCCATTTTGTTAATGTTCTTTTCATTCTAAACTCATCAGGACTAGAAGAGTTGTGTCCTCTGGCGAGGCTGCATGACTGTCCTCTCAGACTATTCAATCTCCCCCTGTGAGCTACACCAGTGCTTTTGGCAACTATGTTATTGTTCCAGCTATCCCTTTTCCTGCTTGCATCTGTGCAGGGTGGGTAATACCAGTGCTTTCTGTAGCTGCTCTGGAAGATGCCAGAAGCCTCCTCTTGTATCAGTGCTCACTTCGTCTGCACGGCTGTGGTTCATGACTTGCCTCCTAGCTCTGTGAATTCTCTGCATTCTGAAAAGAGAGCAAATTCCAGGTAGAATATAAGCATAAAAGGGCTCCTCAGCTGTACAGCAGCCATGAATTCTAAACACATACTTTATCCCACTCAAAGATATATTCCAACTTAAGGCTGTGTTGGCTACAATTTGTTCTTTAATCTTTCCTTATCCTCTGAGTGTGGGCTACAGTGTGTGTGATGCTGGGAAGAGCCAACCTGCTCTGTCTGCTAGCATCAGAGGAGTCTCCCAGAAGGGGTGGCATTTCTTAAGTGATTTTTTTTTTTAACAAAGACTCACTTGTGAGCTTGAAATATACCACGTTGCTCTTTCAAATGTACAGTAATTAAATATGCAGTTTGGCACTTTCCTGGTGAAAGTGATAGTGTTTTATCAATTTATTCTAATGTCTGCCCCTCTGTGACTCTCCAGAATACATCTGTAGCCCTGTCAGCCAGAAGGAAGGAAATAGCAAATTGAACCATATGGAGGATGGAATCTGTTATTAATGGTACTATAATTCTATCACCTAAAAGAATAAACTACATCCTCTTTTGCTGTCAGTAAGAAGGAATAAGGCATTGGACAGTGAGTTCGTAGATGTCCTCAATGAAGAATGACGCCCTGTGTAGGGACCAGTGTTGATGTAGTGATTGAGAAGAAACCATCTTCTTTCGTATGGCCACGATGTGAATGGCTTACCTGGAGGAAGCTAGACTTGCAGAAGAGCACTGTCGAACAACGTGCAGTGACATTAGCCACAAGTACCCCTATTCTCTGAAAAAAATCAAAATTGGTCATTAACATAGGCTAATATTTCTCAAACACTTGAATGCAGCATAATTGCAATTACTGGATATAAATTGGCATATAATCTTATAACACTTTTTCCTGACCTCTGATTTCATCTTCACTATGTCCTATGCATGCATTCACTTTGTTCAAAGCATACACTAAATGCATTACAAACTCTTCAAATGCATTCCTCCCCCAAATCAGCTACTCTCTGATCAACTACTTCCTATGAAAGGAAATGACCTGGAAATACAAAATAAGTCTTAGAACGAGCATAACAAAGCTACTGTTTGTTGAGCATGGGCTGTGTGCAAAATATTTTTACAGGTATTTTTACCCACAGCATCTCATTTAATTCTTGGGACTGCTTATGAAATGAACATTGTTATTCCCATTTAAAGAAAACTGATTCCTAGAATGTCAGAGAAGGTCTTCAGAGAGATGTGGGGGGAAATAATGACTTCAAAATGTCTTGTGCAGGAACAGTTTGAGAACTTTGAATGATGCTCTTTCTGTCCCAGTTTCTGGTCAGTTTTTCCCACCATGTTTGGTTGACAGCCAGTGTATTCCTTCCTTTCTCACAGTGCTTTTGCTCTTGGTCAGAAAGAGCAATGATTTTGCAGCTGCCTCTTTCAAAGCCTTTTTCTTTCTCAGCCACACCCCTTCACTTAGGGCACGCACTTTTAACACACAAGTGCTAGCATTGGGGTTCTTGCTGCCAGTCATAGAAATTGTAACACAACTGAAAATATATGAAAGATAAAGAGGTCCTTGCTCTTTTTAGAGACAGTGATTTCAATTGCAGAAGCATCGCAGTTGCTTTCATTAAGAATTTGTGCCTTTCTGAAGTGTTCCTTATTGTGTGCCCTGGACAATAAACCATCTTAAGTGGGGGGCTTTGTTTTTGTTGTTGTTTTTTCGTTATTAAACCTAGGTGTGCTCCTCCCACCCCAGTTGTTTTAGGAACTTCCTCCATGAAACCATGAAGCTTAGAGATCTCATCTTTTGTCTCTTTATAGCTCCAATTTCAGGCACTCACTGGCCCTTCAACAAAAGTTTGTTCATTTGGATAGCAAGCGAATCGTGGAATAATTACTAGCCCCTGTATATTTAAGCTAGCTGAAAAATGATGCAACAGTACTGATACATGGCTGTTTTTGATGTTGTTGATTATGAAGAATTGTTTAGTGATTACCACTGAATTACCCAAGAAAGTATTAGCTATAACTAATGAGATAAAATTAGGTGAAACTTAAATGTGGACTGAATATTAAAAGAAATATTTCTGGTAGTCTAAATCAAATAAAGGAGTCCCCATGAACATGGGCGGGATACGTTATACCATGCGTGTCACTCAGAACTCTGTGGGTGGTAGACTCTGACTTGGGCAGATTGACAACTGAGATCATGGGTTTAGTTTTGTTGATTCTCTTTCTTACACAGGTCCATTCACAGCCTCCTAACTCTATAGACAGTATGTGATAAGTTAAATTTTCTGATTAGAGTTTTATTTTTTCCAGAAAACACTCTTTTTAGAAGTCTTCCTGGTAGAACCATCAGAAATGTCTTCCTTAAGTGGAAAGGTGCAAACCGTTTTGGGCCCTGTCGATCCCAGCAAACTGGGCCGGACCCTGACCCATGAACATTTGACAATGACCTTTGATTGCTGTTACTGCCCACCTCCTGCATGCCATGAAGCCACTTCTAAGGGACCTATCCTGATGAAAAACTTATTCTGGATTCAGCAAAACCCTTATTCTCATAAAGAGAACCTTCAGTTGCATCAGGAAACAGAAGCCATAAAGGAAGAGCTGTTGTATTTCAAAGCTAAGGGTGGTGGAGCTGTGGTGGAGAACACGACCACTGGCATCCGCAGGGATGTGCAGACCTTGAAGTGGCTCGCAGAACAGACTGGAGTCCACGTCATATCAGGAGCTGGATTTTATGTGGATGCAACTCATTCTTCAGAGACCAGAGCCATGTCAGTAGAACAGGTAAAAAGTTCTAAATTCTTTGACAGTATTTGTGTATAAATTCAGAATCATCCAAATCTTGGAAATGCCATTAGCTCAGAAGTAGCTGAGCATAGTACAGAAAGTCGCTAGTTTAAAGACATCTGCCAGCTGGGATTTTAATTAGTAACATTTCACATCATAAAGAAAGAGTATCGAGGAAGGAGATCTGAATGCACTGGTCATTGGTTACTACTTTGATTTGTATGTACTGTATCAGTGCCCAGTAGTGGTGCCCCAGTCTATTTGTGACCCTCATTTTTCCATCATAAACTTCAGTTATGTAACCATGATATTTCCCTCTGGATTTTAGAATAAGCAGCAATGAAAACTGACCGTCAGGTGAAACTTGGCATGTGGAGACTTTTGCAAATACGTTTCTTTCTGTCTTTTTTACAAAACAGGAAGGGTGAAAGAAAATCTATTCTGTTTTTGTTTTACAATACTATGATCTCAATCAAGAATGGGCAGAAGCAAGTAAAACTTTCACAGGCAAAAAAGAAAGAACCAGCAGCAAAGCTTTCTTGCATATGTATGCTTTTTCCGAAGCACAGTTGTGTATGTTTGCATGTATTCACACATACAGGTACATATTCCTGTGTACCCTTCATGGTCTGCTTGATAGGCATAGAATGCCACTTGAAGTCTTCACAAAGGATTAAAGTCTAAAAATGATTTATACTTAAAACTATTACTTTTCCAATCAAGACTGTAAAACAAATTAAATTTACTTGAAGACTGAACTGATGGAAAGGATTAAAAATCTGTCAGAGCACTCCTAGCACTTAATGTATAACTAAGCCACCATGTGTAATGTTGGTACAGTGTGCTGTGGATTCTCTATGCTGTGTAGGGTAAAGGACTGGACAAATAAGGGAGATTTAAAGAATTACTTGATGCAATTAACAGAGATTCACTGACATGCATAGATGCTACTTCCATATTTAAGTTATAGATTTTATTCTCAAGTTCTGTATATGCTCATAAAGTCACTTTTCCCTCTTGGAACTTCCTAGAGTTCTGAAATGCTAGGTAAATAATCACAGTATGCCATTACTGAACCTTAAATCTAGAATAGCTTGTTGCACTTACCCAGCAAAATACCCTACTCATTGTCCAAAACTAATTGAATTAATGTCAAACACACTTTTAAAACAATGAGTCTAAATAAACAAGACCATCCATTTACTGTGATGAATTTCACAATCTATAAAGTATGTCCGTTCTCACTCTTCCTCAGCTTACTGGTGTCCTTATTGATGAAATTCTCCATGGAGCCGATGGAACCACTATCAAGTGCGGTGTTATTGGAGAAATTGGTTGCTCCTGGCCTTTGACCGAGAGTGAAAGAAAGGTTCTTCAGGCAACAGCGCATGCCCAGGCTCAGCTTGGCTGTCCTGTTATTATCCATCCTGGACGGAGTCCAAATGCACCATTTCAGATTATCCGAGTATTGCAAGAAGCAGGTGCAGACATCGCCAAAACAGTTATGTCCCACCTGGACAGGTAAGCAGGCTGTCTTACAAATTGGTGTAAACCACCATATGATTAATGGATAATCAGATTTAAAAATCATCAGAAATCAGATCAGTCAATCAGCTAGGGAAACTCATTAGCCACTTGCAAGATGACACTTACAAAGACTTACCACTAGTGTGAGTAAAAGTTAATGCTACCATTTTTGCGAAGGACAGAAAAATGCGATAAGCTCTTGGGTAGCTACAGTAGAGTTTCAAACAATGTATTTCTGAGTGTGCCATAATCCCAGCTACTTGAGAGGCTGAAGCAGGAAGATCACCTGAGCCCAGCAGTTATAGGTCAACCTGAGCAACACAGGGAGATTTTCATCTCAAAATCAAAACAATATAAAGAAATAAAACAATGCATTTGACAATGTTACCTTGTGTGGTGTAGACTACCAGTATATGTACCATATTTAATGAATATGATGCTTTTTGGTTGGGTTCAGGCCAGCAAACCCTGATTAGCGAGACGAATAAAGAAATGAGTGACAGAGAATATCTTTTTGGGGGATGTCAGGGAGCTTCCCTTGAATGAAGCCTTGAACTGACCTAAACTCCCAATTTTATTGAGAAGCAAGCAAGGCATTGTGTTCTATTGAACAGGGCTGCATAGTTTATATTAAAAAGGCATGAGGACAATCGTGCTGGATTGTTACCTTTATCAAAAGGTTCCCACGATGTCTCTCTTGATTTCACCAACAAGGCTCGCCTCTGGCTGGGCAGGTGGAACAAACACCTCATCTTCAAGCTGTTCCAGGGTCCGCAGAGTCAACCCGAGCAGATGTTAACTCATTGGGCGCCTCAAGGAACTCCACCTTTTTAAACATTTTAAAGTATGTTATACATACAAAAGAGTATAACTCTAATACATAGTGTTAAATTTTCTAAATGCTTCTTAGGTTCTTGAAAACATTGTTAGGCAATTATATGTGTTCTGTGTCTGTCCATTAGTCTATAATGGTTCATGTTGCTTAAATATACTATATGCCTACTGATTTTTTGACTACTTGATATGCTGCTTACTAAGAGACTATACTAAAATCTACTAGGATGAATTTTTTTATCTCCTTATACATATTTCAGCTTCTAGTATATATATTTTGAAGCTATATTAGTACATTCATACAAATGGTTACATCTTTCTATTAGGGTGCTTTATGTGTGGTAATTCAAGTCATGCTTTTTGTTTCAAAGACTTATTTGCTATTGTTGTAAAAATACATATTTGTGTTAGTATTACACTTACATTTTACCTTTCAGAGTTTTTATGTTCTAGATGTGTCACATATAATGAGCATGTGGCTGATTTGGCCACTTACCTACTCGACACATGTCATCCCTTAAATGGAAAATTCAGTTTATTTCATTGAAATGTTTATTAATAGCATTTTTCTAGTGCTTTTGTCAGAGTTATTATTATCTCCTCTTGATTTAATGTTTATTAATTATTTTCTCTCACTTTATTTTTGTGTTTTTGGAAGGTATATATACTATTTCTGGTCTCTAATTGTTAAAACGGAAAATTTAATATATATCTACATATATAATTTATCACAATTTAAATATAAATAGTTTTGCTGTTCTTCCTAGTAATACGATCACCATAGAATCTTCCAATTCTATTTACCATCTAAGTTATGTACTGTTCTTTCTAGAACTTTGAGCTTACTTTATTGTTCTAATCCAGTTATTAGACATTATTTTATTGTCATAAAATGTAGAATTGGTCAATGTTTATTTAGCTTAACCTTTCCATTTGCTGTTTTCTTTATTCGCTGTTTTATCTTAAGTCTTAATTCTGAGTTTTTTTTTCCTAAAATACATTTGAATTTCCTTCAGTGATTGTCTGGATTATAATCTTTAGGTTTTGTTTGTCTAGAAATGTCCTTATTCCTTTATTCATAATAGGTGATTTCATAGAATTTCTAAATTCAAATAGATAATTCTATTTGTAAGTTATTTTTCTAAGCTAGTCAAAGGGATTCCATTTTCAAATAACAGCTATTGTTACTGTTGATAATTCAGCTGAAACTAGTTGCCCTCCCATTCTAGTGTACTGTCTTTTCTTTCTGGATGCTTTTAACATCATTTCTTCCTCTATTCTGCATTTTCAGTATGATCCAACTTAGTATGAATTTGTGTTTATTTGCCATCCCTTGGGATTCCTCAGTATGAGGATGTATCTCTCTTCATTATTTCTGGAAAATCTCAGCCATTGTCTATCCAAACCTTCACTTACATATTCTTTGCTATTAATATCATAAACTGCAATTAGATGTATGTGGGGCCTTCCTATTGGTCCTTCATGTCTTTTAATATCTCTTTCCTATTTCTCTTCATTTACACCTTTGAACTATAATTGCTTGGGTTTTCCTTCCTATCGTTAATTCTCTTCCTTGTGGAATCCTGTGCTTGGCCTATCTCTTTGTTTTTCAATATTGAGAACTATTGTTTTCCTTTCATTTATTGAGTTCTATTTGGTTTCCTTTCAAATCTGCTTAGTTAGACTTGATAATTTATTGTCTTTCAACATGTTTTCAATTCTACCTCTAAAAATATAAAATGTACAATATTTAGCTTATAATTTATAAATCTCATTTCTACTATATTTCTTTTTACTCTGGATTAAAATTTTGTTACAGTTTGTTCTTCATAGCAGCTTATTTCCTTCTGTTTATTATTCAAATTGTGTATTGTTGAGCACAGCTCAAATACCTTGGAGTTTATTATGAGGGTGAGTTGACAGCAGCTGCTTCTTCTCTTTTTCCTTCTTCTCCTCTCTTCTTCTCCTTCTTTTTGTTTTTTTTTGTTTGTTTGTTTTCTTGTGTTTGCTCCTGCTAGTCAGTTAGGGGGGATGACCAACCTGAGACTACTTTAAACTAAATTTAAAGAAATTTTAAAATTTTAAAAATTGTAAAATATGCATAACATAAAATTTACCATTTTAAACCTGTTGGAATACACAGTTCAGTAGTGTTAAGTACATTCACTCTCCCAGCCTTTTTATCTCTATGAATTTGACTGCCGTAAGTACCTAAAATAAATGGCGTTACACAAAGCTTGTTCTAACTATGTGAAATTTAACTTGAGGGATTTAGGCTCACACAGATGTTGTGAATTCTAGCCCCTAAACCAGTGAGTGCAAGTTTCATTTAATGGATTGTCTAAGGAGATTTTCCACTCAACACCACCCCCCCTGCTCCCTTTCATCAGAAGACTGAGAAAAACACACAATCTCCAAAAACTCTCTTTGTGACCAGCTTTTATGTAGTTCATCCATAAATATGTTGTCTTTGTGGAGGAGGCAGCTCCCTCTATGTATCTCCAATTTCATCTCCCAGATGCTTCTGTCCCAAGCTCTGTCACACTTGTGCTTAAACTCCCAGCAGTGCTAGCTCCAGGTCTCCCCTTTCTCTGTACTTTCCCAGCTCTCTGTTTGCTCCTGCCCCCTGGACAAGTTTTAACTTTCCCAACAGCTCAACCAAGCAGTTATTGAAATATGGGGTTTTGGCTCTTCATTTATATTCAGTTTTACATATACTGTGCTAGAGAGGTTTTCTGTGACTGGTGAGTCTGCCATACTGCTCAAAGCCGGCTCAAGGTGCTTCCTAAATAAAAATCATACTCTCCCTATTTATTTACAGTTAGACATGTATGTAAGCTATAACAGCATATTTACATGAATAGAAAACAAAGCTTTCACTGTAAATTGCATAATAAACCTTTCTTCCTACCACACTAATATTTTCTGGCTCATAAAAGCAAATATATAGAGTGCAAATGTTTATTTCCCAGTGCCATACATATACATATGGACCAGTGGTTCCAGAGTCATGGCACGCCTGCTGCAGTGGGCTATTTTTATCACTGAGAGCTCTAAAGCCTTCACCATCACTGACAGACTACAGTACAGATGCCCAACCCTTCAATTTACATGGGCTGCTTATAAAACCTATAACACAGTTCATGTACAGGAGTAACAAAATTTTCTTCTTTGTATTTTAACGTATTAAATTATTTTATAAAATAATAAGCCTATGTTTAATAAATACGAAAACATGTCTCCATGATAGCCTATAAATGCCTGTTTTCACAGGCACACATGTGTAAGGAAATTGAAATGCTGCACGCACGCACACACACACACACAGACATACATATGCTGCAGGTATCCACATCCACACATTTCTTTTTGAAATGATAAAGGTGCATTACCTGATTTCCATTGGCTGTAGTTTAAGCATCTCCCTGTTAGATGGCTCAGGATTGGATGAAATGATTGACTTGACATCAGACAAGCTAGAAAGCCCTGAGCCCACTGCTACAGTATATATTGAACCTACATTAAGGGTTAATAGGGATTCTGATGCCTGAAAAAGAAGTACATGAAAATATGAGCATTTCTGTGGGGAGACAACTGGAGAAAATATCTTTTGACAAAGTAGTGCACTTGGAAAAGCCAAGTAAATTAACAGGAAGAAAATGATCAGGGCACAGATGCGGGCTATGTTATCCCTGTGAGGAGACTACACAGCCAGGTGCCGAGCTGGCGCTGGAGCTGGAGCTGGAGCTGGACCAGGTCAGGCTTTCCCAGACTCTCTGTGGTCTGCTGACCTTGCACACAATTCTGCCTGTGCTGAAAAGGGAAGGACTTCCATTTTTTATAACGGGACCTCTCACAGAAGGGCCTGGGTTTAATGAAACAAAATGCAAAGGACACACACAATAAAGAACGTTCCAAAAACAGGACCTCTAAATAATCCCCCAACAGCATAGACCTGCACTTCATTTAGTGGGAAGTTTGGGAGTCGGCGGCGACTCTGTCCATGACCCCTTTCAGAGCATGAGGGCTCCCCAGCAGGACGGATCCTCAGCCTGGGCTTCCTGCAAAATTGGTTCATTTCCCCTTCAGAGTGGCATTTCCATCATTTTCAAGAACCCCAGTGTAAAATGTACCCCAGTACCTCCACAATTACATTGAAG